CGCCGCGGGCCCCACGGTCCCGCCTGGACACACAGTAACCGGGAAACAGCAGGTACCGGTCATCAATGTTTGCGCTTAACCACGTTTCAGTTACGCATAGTATGTCAATATCGTTGGTTTGTAACAGTCCGTTCACCTCATCCAAGGATGGCATAAGCGATCGAACATTAATGTGCCCAACCGTGATCCGGCCGGACGGGCCCGCGCCAGTAGTGGGCCGCCGCTCCGCGATCCGGCACGCCGTGACGGTTTCCCGTATCGACAGTCTGGGCGGCTCCAGAAGGGCGCGGTCGTAGGCCGGTCTGGTCAGTCACATTGCGCGGGGAACATTGTCACTGTTTGCTGGATGGAACAGGAACTAAAACAATCGATTAGATAGCGGTTTAGGCCCGCCATCGCGCCGGCGTCATTTGTTGCTCTGCCGATATTCAGCGCGCGCCGCGCATTTTCTCCATACGGACTGGCCTTGCTTTTAAAAAGGTACACCCATGTTCAGTTACGGAACCCATGCCATTCTGGTAGGTATTGCTGATATTGCGGACACCTCTGTAACAACACACGGTCTGACGCCGTTTGGTCACCTGTCTGCACTGTGTCACGGACCGCGGTGGTTAATCAGCTGACTCTCAGTCCGGTCGGACCCGGCTCGACCGCCGCGCGGCCCACCGGACTTTGTCTCCACAATAGACCGGTCGGCCGCCACGGTCTGTTCACGTGGCGTGCATGTTTGTAAATACACCGGACCCGGCGGTCGCAGTGGCGTCTCAATGGCCACTGCGCTGTTTATGGAATGAGACCACTGCGCCGTTTATGGGCGTCGTTGTACTAGGATGATTTGATGTAACCCTGCACTACTCTGCTCGATGTTAGGATGTCCAGGGGCTGGGTTGACTACTGGCCGCTCTGCAGTGAGTTGCTGGTTAGTGGTTCGTCGCATGCTCATTGACTACGGGGAGCTTCCTCCATCAGCGCCTGCCATCTACTAATGGACGATCAGGAGATCAATCAGTTGATCATACTATCGGAGTGACTGGCAGTTGGGATCAATCAATGAGTCTGAGGAGGTTGGCCCAGAAAACTCCGATAACTGGTCGACTAGGTATGTTTTGTAAATTGGTGCGCCTGTCCTGTTCTGTGCTGGTCAGTCCATCTCGCAAGGGCAGCACGTCTAGTGACGGGTGCGTTATTTAACACATCTCATAACAAGCTCCTTTTAGACCTAGGCTGGGACACCTTAGAAACACGACGAAAAAAAAAACACCGACTGATATTTTACAACAAGCTGATAAATCATTTCGCTGACTTGCCGCAATACATAAGGGACATACTACCACAAACCAGACAAGACAACACGGGTCGTGCTCTTCGCAATGCCACCAATCTCACACTCTCAAACAACAGAACATCACTTTTTAAACAATCTTTTATTCCTAAGACGACCAGAGATTGGAACATTTTACCAGAATCCATCAGAACCGATCCCAGCCTCAAATCCTTCCAACGAGCGATAGAGACCAGACTTTGTGCAGGGACCGTCCCACCATATAATAATACTGGATCAAAGTTTGGAAACATTCAGCATGCAAGACTTAGGTTGAACGCAACTGTCCTAAAGGCTCATCTCTACCAAATCCAAAAATCTTCTTCTCCCTGCTGTGAGTGTGGGAGCCCAAAAGAGACTGTAGCACATTTCGTTCTAAATTGTCCCCGTTTCCAAGTGCTACGCTCTGAACTTTTCGGACAAATTTCAATAATTATACCCATATTTAACAACTGTAACAGCGTATCTAAACTTAACTTATTGCTGTATGGTAGAGGCCTCAACAAAAACGATCAGATCAAAGTAGCGAAATTATTCCAAAATTATATTATCAAAACTAAAAGATTCCAGAACCAATAGCATCCAGCGGCGGACGGCGGGCCGGACGGTTCGTCGTGTCGCCTGGGGGTAGCAACTTTAATTTCAACCAGCGAGCGGTGGGTGTGGCGCGGCTTGGCGGTGGTCAAACAGACTTGTTTTCATATTATGTTGTGTTTTTTATGTAATACTCATGTTTATTTTATACTGATTGATTAAGAGAGGTGCTTTAATTTAAGAATTTTTGTTCTTTTGCACCAATCTTATAATATTTTTGTGTATGTTTTGCTCATTTGTAATGTTGAAAATAAATGTGTATGTATGTATGTGTATCTCCGTCGAACATTATTGCACGAACTAATGAACCTGTCGTGTTTGAATCGGTCGACTGTTGGGAACAAAGAGTTGTCGACCTAGGGGCGTTAGCGTGTCATACCGTGCCGTGCCGTACTGCGCAGGCTCGACCACAGTGGCACGCGGTACGCCCCTGCGGCTCTGGTTGCAGTGCCAATATTCGATTTCCTTTCGGCGTATTCAGTGAAAATAAGCTAGCGAATGTTTTGCTAATCGTTTGACCCATACTGTTCATATTTTTCTAGGATAATTGTTTGGATGAATTTCATTATTTTTTCTGGTAGTTCCGATGACCGGCTTTCAGTCGTTGTCTTCCATTCCTTGGTACGGGCTAGATGATTTCTAATGGTGCACGTTTGATCCATGTTCTGTCGCGCAGTGCCTTCCATGTGCAGCACTGTTCAATGTCAATCTGGGGATCCCCGCTGCCTGGCGCTGCGTCGGATCGCAGGTCGTCGTGGTAAATATATACAGGCGGAGTGCACAGTGCACTGAGGTGCCGGTGAAACCGTCTGTCCGCAGCTGACGCTCCGTGCCACCGCTCCCTCCCCTCCCCAGTCAGCGCGGACGTCAGTTGGCCGGTTGGACGGCTCTGCGGGGACAAAGTGCAGCGCGTCACGGAGTCGGCTGATGCAACGCGAATGGTGCGATGGACGGACGGTTTTAGGGCGACCCCCCCCCCCCCCCTCCGCCGTGTCGACCTCCGGAGATGGGGCGCACATGTCGCTGGCAGTTGGCACTCTCTATGCGATTGGTCTGTGGATGGGACGCCGCTTGCATTTGCGTTACATGGACGCGGTTCTACAACGTGGACTCGACATTCTGTGAGCTGGTGGCCACGCTATTTGTGCACAAAAAATATGGCCGCCATGCTACATGCCGATGCATTTGCTTGCTTTATGGAATTATGTGATAAATGTTTCCCCAAATTACTTCTGGTAGAAATTCGTTCGTTTTTCCCCATTGGCTTTCCGAAGCTCCGGCATTACTAGGTTGCATTCACATTCCACTTACACACCATCACATGTTCATTGTTCGGTCTCCTTGTCGCATATTCTATCCGACTTCCCTCGCCACTCCCTAGGCTCCGTTCATGCCATTGAGATTCAGCGCAGCAGCGATACACCTTGTAGCTGGTGTGGGATGTCAGACCTGTAAACGGTCCATCGATCTGGCTGCTAAGTGGGCCCATCGTTCTGGTACCGCCACTGGCTACGTCTAGCTGGACGATGCTGTTGTAGGCAGCGGTGCTGGGCGGAACTACCGGTCGATTGAGACGGGACTGAGATCGCGTAAGCAAGGACTGAGGTTCGGTGAGGAAGGGGCTATTGCTAGGAGGTTAGTCTCTTTTGAAGAAGTTAGTTTTATCTGAAGACTATGTGGATGTTTAATCGTTCGTTAGGCCTTTGGCATTACAGTTTTTAGAATGTATCGCTCAACAGAACCGTATTGCCTATATACAAAGCAGTGAAGGTCTGTGCTCCTCTGGAAGGGCCGCGGGTGCTCTAAGAATATTCGAAGTCCCTTGAGGATGTCTGCTGTGGTGTAGGCTGGGGACTCCAGACCCTTGTGCTGGAGTTGGCGGCGCTTGTTTGGCCTCTTCCTGGGAAATATTGATCGGTAATAATTGCGTAGCTCGGGGCTGTGGTTTGCTGATGTTACATGTTGTGAATGCTGCTGCGCACTGGCAGGGTACCGGACGGCTGTGGTTGGAAACTGCGCCACAGGGTGCTCCACAAACAAGCTGCATCCTCCCACCTCAGCAGAGAGGGGTGGTGCAATGCCACCCGACGCGAGCGTGTTCGGTGCCTGATGCGCCGTTTCCAGGTTACTGGCCTGACCAACCGCCGCCCCGACCGCTGACCTGACCGACCACTCTCCACGGCTGTGGCCCGTGGCTTCCCACCGCTCCGCGCCAGCCGCGTTCAAAGGTCGCCCGTGACGGCCGGGCGATGCGTCACGTGTGACGTCGACCGACAGCCCACCCTCAGACGGAGTGACGCCCCGAGAAACGACGGCCGACTTGGCCGCCTGACTCACTGCCGCATGTCACCGACTAACAAACACACACACACTCACACGGAGGGAGATACGTTCAGACAAGGACCGTTACATTATTTAATATTGAGTTGGCGTGCGTATACGTAGTAGTTTTCACCTTGGATGCCATCAGCACTCGGCGTGGTTTACGATGTAGGTGAGTGGGCTTCTGTACTGGGACTGCTCACTGCTGATGGGATGCAGGACATGTGTATTGTGTTGTCTGTGAGCTGGCCACTGCTTCGACACACCGATCGGTGGTCTGATACCTATTCACTGCTGTGGATGACGGAGAGGTCGCGGAAGGGCCGAATGTTTAGCTGGAGCAGGCCCGTTGTAGACCACCCTGTGTGTGAGGAATCCGTTATGCGTTATGCATCATGGATCGGTGATCGCTGCTACAGAGTGTAGGTGTCTAGAAGGTTGCAACTGCAGGCCATGTAAGTGGTGTTGTGGGCCAACGCTTGGAGCCCTGTGGCAATGTCAGAGCTTAGAATCAACACTTGATATCTGTGACCCTTTTTTAGGTCATTTTGTTATGTATTCCGTGTCGGCATTTCGCTGTTTGTAAACTAACCCGTACACCATGGAGGGAAGCTGATGGGTGTTATGTTACTTGTTAGCACTCCGTAACGATATGCCGCGTTAGCGAATAGCCACCATACCTCTTCGGTCTGCTCACCATTTGTCGTGAACAAGCAGTGTTGAAATTCCCGATGTAACTCCGTTATGTCTGCCTTGCCCGCAGATCGTCGAGGGTCGACGCACGGTCAAGGGCAAGCTGGAGGTCAAGATGCGCATGCGTAAGCCGGCAGTGTCCGACCAAGTGGAACAGATCAAGGAAAAGTGGCTCGTCATCGACAAGCTGTAGGCTCAGTTACACTGCCTGGCGGAAGTTTTCAGCTTGGTCTACAGCTCAGCCTGTGCACGCAGCAGCTTAGCCTGCTCTTTAGCCTAGAGTGGAGCGTTCAATCTTTTCACACTCTCACACACCTTCAGTCCAGAGTGCAGCACAGCCGTGTTTTAGAGCAAATCGGTCTGGGGCCCTGGGGGCCACTGCTACTACTATTTTGGTGGTTTGCTGCCTGGTGGGTGTTGAACACTCACACAAGCTGCTGATGTAGGCTATTGATGCTGAATCGGTGCTGTATGCGGGCCAGTCTCCTGGCCTAGTTCGCTGGTATTACGAAGTCGCCTGTGATGACTACATGCTATAACACAGCACCCGGCGTTCCTATGTAGCCGTGTTGGTGGTGCGTACGCTTTGTGGCATGTAGCGCAGTTCTGTGCCTTTAGGCGAACGCCGTGGGTGATGCTTTACGCGATGAAAGACTGCACGACTGACTTCAAACTCTGTCTACTACTGAGATGGGATGGCGTCGATTATATGCGCCGCTGCGTTGTGACGGCTCGTGTAGGGCACTGGGATGCCATCGCAGCTGAAACCTTTGGCCTCAGGCAGTGCCCCTGGGCAAGCTGCGGAGCTCCGCCACGCCACGCCCAGCCCCTGGCCTTGCCCGCACTGGCGGCCACCGGGCGGCTATTTCTGTCCGTCCGTGTGGCGTGAGGCGGTGCAGGGGCGGGAGCTGCGTGTGCGAGCCGCCCACCGGGCAGCCAGCCTGGCTGAGGTCCAGTTACACTACTGAACTCCGGCCCAACACAGCTGATCCAGCAGGGGCCCTGCTACGGAACAGGGCGGGTGCTACGCAAACTGATGTGATGGATTGCACGCTGGTCGGTGTGTCGATGTGACAGGGCCATTAGGCTGGGTGCTGTGTATACTTCTGTGGTCGCGGGCGCTGGCTAGACGGACACTGCCGTCCGACTCCCAGGTCCGCTACGCTCTGCAATGGAGATCATATATTGGGGCCGGGGCTATTGTGATGTCTGCCTGTGCTATCACATGAATAAACGTAATGATGCAACGCATTACTCTTGGTCAATGGGGCAGGATGCGTTCGCCATGTTAATTATTTATCAACAGGATGGGAGTGACAGTAATGTAGGGATATCTGGGATCCGTGGTTGCCATTCTCGCGCGTTTTCACTCGTTTGGAAGACGGTCTCACCGGAACTACCCCTGCCCCGTTCCCCGTACCGTTGCCGTGCGAAGACCGCTTGGCAACGGGTCTCTCAGTCTCCGCACGTCAGTCCCGATTCCTGAGCGTTTTGTCAAACTCGGCAAACTGGTGGGCGATGTTTGACATTACCGCCCCCGCACTGGCCTTCCCTACTGCAGCGCCCACAGCTCAAATGAAGCCAGTCGTGCACAGTGCAGAGCTATATTTAGGCACATCCGTCAACCGTATGACCATCGAAGGCACGTCAAAACCGGCTGGGGTTGGTGGGAACCGGTGCTGCGACTGGCGACGGGTCAGAGCCAGTATCGCCGGCTCAGCAGCGCGAGTTGGAACAGCGCTGACTGCCCGTCATTGGAACCCACTTGGGTTTGATCTTGTGTTTTAGTGCGTACTGCACAGCGGACATAACTCATGCTGACGATAGGAATACCTACGCGTGCGATCATGGCTTTGATCGCGAACGCCATCTGGCGACATGTTGATGGACATAAGGGGTGTATCCGTGTTAAGTGAGAACCCGTTCGATGTGTGGCTGGCCCAGTGAAGGGTGACGCTGCGTGCCTTCTCTCAACAGTGCTGCTTTCCCCTGCGGGAAGTTCCCTGGCGTCCCATGCTTGCGTCATGAGCTTGACTCCTAATCTAAGCGATCGTAACTGCACTTCAGATAAGTAAAATCTTTGGGCTGACATTATCACGACAAACACCCTTTCGCATTATACATCACGCAGTAAAAGAGGATGGTCATGTCACGTAGTGTGTATATTATTACAGTCATTAAAGCTGAATACACCAACACATAAATAAAAACAAAATAAATACACTCGGCTGCGCGGAGGTACAAACGCCGCTTAGGGCCGGTGCTGCGTCAGGTACTGTCTCTCCGAATATAACCTTCTCCGCCGTTCTCCATATTGTCTCAACGAGTTTCGACCGTTCTCCAACTCGATCCAACAATGTCTGTCACAGTCTGGACAGCTCCACACTCTCGGGGACGCCCCTCTCCCTCAGAGATCGAGCAAGAGACGTTTGCGGCGCGGCGCTCAGACGGCCGTGGCGCTGAGCTGGATGAAGAACGGCGGCAGCACCGCCCTCTGGCGCGTATCCGGCACACCGACTGTCTTGCGGTCGCGCGCGTGGCGGCGCATGTGTTTGGTCAGGTGGTCCGAGCGCATGAAGCGGCGACCGCACACATCACAGGCAAACTTCTTCTCGCCTGTGTGCGTGCGTTTGTGCCGCGAAAGTTCGTCCGATCGCGAGAAAGTGCGGCCGCACTCTGGCCACTGGCACACGAACGGCTTTTCACCTGGAACAACGGAGAACAATGGTCAGATGGCGCATAACATGGTGGGTCAATGCTTCTCGAGTGAAGGAAGAGAGCCAACGATGATGTTTGATTTTATCAGTCACTAGGTCCAAACCGGTTTTTGGTTGCAATGAGTCATTCAAAGAAGCCGACGTGTCTGTATATCGTTCCCCAGCACATGGAAGCGTTGCAGACACGTCCCTTGCACGTCAATCCCCTCAGTTAGCGCTGCAGACTTGTTTATCGAACGCAGTGACATCCCTCCCCTCTGCATCCTGCATGTCCGGGTCGCTGGGATCGCGTCCGCACATCCAGCGAATCATCTGCCGCTTACCCCGATTTGCGCCCCTCCCCGTCGCTTGCATCAGCCCGCACTGCCGCACCCACCTCCCTCCTCCCCTTGGCGTTGGCGGTCGCTTTGTCACCTCGCCTGGCAACCGGGCACCCAGCCAGCGCTCACCTGTGTGCGTTCGGACGTGGGCCTTCAGGTGACTCGACTTGAAGTAGGTCTTGTCACAGCCGGCGTGCTGGCAGCAGTAGGCCCGTTTCCTGTCGGGCACGGGCGCTGACGCCGTGAGCTGATGGGCGCCGGACGCGGTCAGCAGCTGCTGCGGCACCTGAAGTACGTGACCGGGTGCCAGCAGCAGCGGCGCGGAGCCGGCCGGCACCGAGAGCAGCGGCAGCAGCGGCACAGGCCGCGGCGCGATTGTCACCGGTCGCGCAGACGCCGAGGGTGCGGCGGGGGCAGCGGCCGGCCGCGCCGCCGGCGGCTGCGGAGACGCCGTGCCGTCCTTGTGGGCGCGGTAGATGACCGACTGACGTGCGGGAGGCTGCCGGACCGCGCCGGCGGCTGACGCCACTGACGGGGGCGGGGACGGCGGCACGGAGCACACTGATGTGGCTGATGGGGAGGCGGGCGAGGCGACTGATGAGGCGAAGGGCGACGACGATGTGGCGGACGGCGAATGAGGTGAACGTAGCGCGAGCGGCGACGGTGAGCGTTCCGGTACGGGTACAGACCGGTCACACAGCAACTGGAAAGAAGATAACCGTAAGAACAAATCCCGTGGAAAAAGCATGCAAAACTTCTGCCTTCGCAACAGGAAGAGTTCAGCCTCAGTTCGAGTCCTAGCTGATCTCGGTGGTCTAACTTCGCCGAACTGAAGCGATTCAAGCGCAAGGCATAATTAATAATTTACGTGGTGCACAGACTTCAGACAATCCGCCCACCACTCGCCAACTTTCCTCAAACTCCAGTCATCCCTGAGCCGCGATGGCGGATCTCTGATGACGTGTCCCTGGCCGCCCACTCGGCGTCGCGTCATCCTCCCCTCCCCTCCCCGAGCCGGCCGCTCCCTCACCTTAGCCAGCATGGAGTTGTGCCGGTGCGCGGGCGGCGGCGGCGGTCGGCGCGGCGCCGCCTCCTCCGGCTCCGTGTCCGAGCTGGGCGCGCTGTGCGGCGGCGTGGGCGCACTGTGCGGCGGCGTGGGCGCCAGCCGCGTCGGACTCGGCGCAGGGCTGGGCCTCCGCGCCGCCGACAGCGTCAACAGACTCTTGGCGGCCAGCATCGCATCCTGCGACAGGAAGAAAGCGGGGTTAGTTCGTGATGACGCCCTCCCTGTCGTTCCCGGCACTTTGTGTCATTTTTTCCCGGCGCTCGGCGGTAGGTCATGGGTACTGGCCGGCAGTCCCACCTAGTCATAGTAACAAAAACGGACCCTTTCTCTGACTCACGATGCCGCCGCGTCTGTTCGCGGAACGAGCGGCCCCATAAAAAGCGTCGTCGCCTGTGACGCATCAGTAAGACTAGCCCGGCCGATGGGCTGATAGATAGGCCTCGTAGTCTGTCACCAAGGAGACTGCCTATCTAGGAACTGTGCCAGTAGAACGGACGCACACGCGGATCCGCTGTTCCCACCGGTGCCCCTGTCCCAGCCAGTCTCTGGTTGTGTGAGTAAGGTCAGTAACAGGGTACGGGTGTCCTTAGAAGAGACAGTATGTCACACTAGAAGACGGATCGCCCGCTGAGCCGCCCTCGTCACTCGCTGTCGAGGTGCGCGTTATCTCTCAAACCACCCACACGCAGGCAGTCAAACCGGAAAGGAGAATCGGACGCTCATGAGGCCATTATGTAAGCGTCTGGCGCGTCGGGCGACGATGCATTCCGGGGGGCCGGTTCGGCGGTGGTGCGCCGCCCGTACCGAAAACAGTGGCCCGGTGGGCGGGGCGCCACATGGGCACGTCGTGAACGGTCAAAGGTCAATGAGTACGCCGAACCGCGGCGGTCAGCCCCCGGGAGACCAAAGTCCAGCCGGGAAAATCACCGCCGATGACAATGGCAGTGATTTGTCATATGTGACCAACGGGTTTGTGTGTGGGTGGAGGAGAACGACTAAGCTGCCCCGTGTATCCGGGTGTGACATGAAGGGAAACTGTGGACCGTGACTAAGTCAGTCAGTTAGTCGACCCGGAGAGTGGGGCGGATCGACCGGAACTGTCAGATGGCAGGGTGCCGAGTGGTCTGCGTGCGATCGACCGTGGTCCAAGTGGGTGTCACTGGACCGCAAACACCCCTCCAGCCAACACCCCACCCCTCCGCCACCCGTCCCTACCCTACCAGGCTGGGGAGCTGCCAGCGTCGGACTGGGGCTGCCCGCCGCGGCCCCGCAACCTTCACCCCATTCCCCGTCCACGTGAACAGCGGATGATCGTGCGTGACGTCACACGCCGCGCCGGTGACGTCACCAGCCCGATCAGCCGGTCGGCGCGTGCAAGCCAAGCCCTCCGACGAGCGGCGCGTGTGGACGACGGCGCCGACGGGAACAAAGACTTCCCGTACGCAGACGCGGGGGCGCCGAGAATATGGCGACCGCGACTCGGCGACTGATGGAAAATTGTGGGAGAAGTATTGATTTAGAAGCAGCGAAACCAGGGAATGATGGGAAACATTTCCCTGAGATAAAAAAGAAACGATGCCTTTAGCAAGTCGCGCCGAAATGCGCCTTGTCCGGACCTTCGTTTCGGACGTTGATGTAATTATTGTGAGGGATTATCGACGTGATTGCAGTGGCGGATCCAGGGGGGGGGGGCAAAATGGGCATTTGCCCCCCCCAAACGGCATGATTTTAACATTACGCCTATGGACGATGCATGGAAAGAATCGATAAATTTTTATGGTTTGCCCCCCCCCCCAAACCTCTGAGCTGGATCCGCCTCTGCGTGATTGAAATATTCAATAAGTTATTATTTACTTGCAAAGAAACGAGAAACTAACTGAATCATGCAAAACATTTGCAAGTGTTCCACTTCGAGGAATGATGTAAATTTACCCTGTCTTATAACGATCGTTGACAAAGTCAACAACAACGATCCATCACCAGACAAACAAAACCGATAAATGACTCGATTCAATCATGATTTTCCGCGATGGAAATCGCATAAAACGAGAAGACCGAAATAGAAGACGATCATTGTTGCCAGTAGCCAGCTTTACACAGCTAGATAAACTTTACAACAATCAAGAACGTAAATATTCCACTTATTCAACCGCGAAACTGTTACAGCATTCAATACTGATCCATTCAACTCCCTCGGTGTTGCATAAATTACGGTAAACGGTGCTAAAACGATGACATGACTTGTAAACATCACAGAACACAAAACGATCGTGATGATGATGCAGCACAGTGGACCGACTATTGACATCAATAACGATTTGCATACAATGTAAATCGAATTAATATCGCTGTGCGTTTAAGTTTAGGAATTATCACTAGCGAAACATACCTTTGAGTGGTTGTCCTCGAGTCTCGGAGACGCCGGGGGCGACAACAGGAAGTGCTCTAGCAGCATCCTTCCTCACTGAATATCACTGAGCGACTTCAAAACAGCAACGCGCCCTGCACACACCCACCCTTCTCTGGTCGGCACCGCCAAATAACAAAGTTCGCTCGTGTCGTTTCTGCGCTGGCGCCGTGCGGGGTTCGTACCTGGGCGGGTGTGCGTACCGACCAATGAGCGGCGGGGGTGCGGCCCCGCCGGCCAATCGCCGGCCGCGCTGTCCACGTGAACAGTGCGTGCACCGCGCCGGCTGTTCACGTGAAGCCAGCCCGTTGCGTCACGGGGAGGGCATGGTGCGGCGGCCGCGCTAGGGGCGGGGAGGGGGGGGGGGGGAGTGGAGGACGGACGGGGGTGGGGCTCCGATGGAGGTCAAGCGCTGGAAACTGGAAAGTGACGCGGGAAGGGGGATTGGCCGGTGCAGCCTGCGGGGAGCGATGGACGGTCGCGGAGGCCGGAGGGAAAGAATGAATACAAGACGGTGCGCTTCTTCTTTAGTAGCGCAAAGTAAATGTAAATTAGATGGTGTACGAGTAAATGTTATTTTGCAATGACACTTTGAAGAAATATTTATGCAATGAGGCTAAGTCACGTTGAATTAATAGTAACGTTATTTTCATGTTATTGGTATCGTAATATCTAAAGTCGGCGAAAACAAGCTCACAAATTTATATAATTATTTAAACCTCTCCCGTCTTCAGAATACTACAAATGTGTTTAAATGTTTTTATTCCATTTTACCTTTATCAACTATTTAGGTACGGTACTCAAGAATGTTCATAAGTATAGTATAACTATTATTTACAACTGTTAACATAGAGTAGAATTGCTCATAAGCATACCTAACTATTATTTACAACTGTTAAGTGTTAACATAGAGAAGCGTAAAGCGAGAGTAAAATGATAATAGTGTGTTATACCTATTGAACTGAAAAGGAAACTATGACCTCTGGCAGCCTAATTATCCTTTTCATTTTGATTTCGTTTTTCGGCAATAAGTTTGCTTAATTTTGGTGGGTTGCGTACAAATTGAGACTCGCCTTATTGTTTGAATTGTTAATAATTAAGACGAAAGCAAAACATGCCACAAAAACGACAGATAAACATCGCTCAACAATTTCGATCACGTAGGAACTAATTGGGACCTTTCGGAAACAGGTTACAACAATAAGTAAAAAAAAAAAAGAAGACCAAAGCAAGCATATATGCGCTTACTGATCTCGCGCAGTTTGTTATCATCTGTGAGTCTGTGCCGCCGAGCGCCGGTGCATTGCGGGATAGTATACTTCTCTAGACGACAGCTGTAGCCGACCGAATAACAGTGTCATATTCAGGGACGTGGTGCGACCTGCTGTGTGGCCTTTCCTAGTAGTTTCCAGATCATTTGTGCAGGAGGATTATGCGCTACTGCTAATGTCCCCCGCGTTTTGGTTCGGTTGTTTTCTACAAGGGTAGGTATACTGTTCCGCAAAACACCGGAGCACGGCAGTATAGCCTAACCATCTGACTTCAAAACATGAGCAAACGCTTCTCGTTAATCAAGCTTACTTTCAGCTAAATTTACGTGCAAAACAATTGTTGTCCAGTCGAAGTGTTTTAATTGACAATGCAATTAATCAACCGCAAAAAATATCATTTTTTGCTGGTCTCTCGTAAGTCGTCACGCATCTCAAAAGGTATACGGTCGCTTGTAGGCAAGAGCTCAGAAAACGACGCGCAATTATCATCAAATCAGACCTTCCGGTAACAGACTTAGTAGCTGTTATGCGTAAGGCTGGTCACTGGTTAGGCTGTGCCGCCGTGCGCCGGTGCCTTGCGGGACAGTATCAAACTCCCAAGGACAACTGAAACCGAGGGGGGCCACAGCGTCAAATGCCTTAGCAACGTTCTGCGACCCGTTGTCCCAGAATGTCACAGACGTCCTCGCATTCGGTTCAGTTGTTCTCCAGAGGCGGATACTGTTCCGCAAGACACCAAACGCACGGCGGCACAGCCTAACCAGTAACCACCGACCAGGAAACCGCTGCCTCAAATTTCAAGAGCGTGGAATTTGATTTTGATTTTTATTGGTTCGGTCCACAGAACATTGGCTAGCAGGATGGGCCTTGCACGAGCTTGTTGTTTCCATTCGGTTCCGTAGATGCATACCCTTGAATAAAGCTTGTGGGAAAATTCCCTTTTCAGGCCTCTTCGCCCTTTTCTCCAATAATTCCCCAAGAAGATGGGCCAAATGGCCCCCATTGTCCTCGCTTTGACTGCGTTCCTGACCCCTCAGTCAGATCGTGTTCGTCGCCCATGGAACTGTCATTGCACCAAGTAATATTTGTGAAGTTTGAGTACGTAAAGCCGAGCCGGCGTTTTTTTTTTGGGGGGGGGGATTGATCACAGCGGATCGATCTTCACTTCTTGCCGACTTATCTTGCAGCGTTCCCAAACCAGAAGGTTAGCGGGTCCATCAATGCGCAGCAGCAGTCGTGTCAAACCGCCGCTCCCGACCCCACCTCTCCCACTGCCAGCGGCCTGCAACCGCGGCTACCTGTGCCTCTGGCCGGGAGCCAGGGGCGGGTCCCATACCCCCCGCCGTCCGGAGTGTTCCGGTAAACAGCTCCGAGAAACGACCGCCGGCTGCCAGCTCGCCACGGCAGCCCCGCAGGGCCGAGGGTCCACTGCGTGACACTGCAGTCCGGTGTGTGATAGGGCGGCGCGCACTGTCTGTTTGCCATTGTGGGTTGTGCAATGTGCATATTTATCAGATGTGCACCGCATGCGATGAAAGTTTCATCATGAAACGTTGTTTCATTTCATAATAAAGGGCATACAAAAAAAGCTAGACATTACTTTATATTTTAAGTGAAGACATGATTTCCGAAGCAGCGACCAGAGACATGCACGATAAATGAATTGTTATCATTAGAATGTTTGTAATAAATGACGTAATAATACAAACGCCAAAACCGAGTTTACATAAATAACATAAGTCAAGGAAATATAACTCTAGTTTAGTTATATCAAATTAGATATCAATTCATTTATGATAAGAGAGAGAGAGAGAGAGAGAGAGAGAGAGAGAGAGAGAGAGAGAGAGAGAGAGAGAGAGAGAGAGAGAGAGAGAGAGAGAGAGAGAGAGAGAGAGAGAGAGAGAGAGTTGGGCTGCTGAATTTTATCCTGCTCTCTATCACACGCGATGCCAGAATCGCTGCCAGACTCGGCAGTGACCTCAGACGGAGGGCGCGACTACTGCCGACTGTCTCTGAGGGATGACGAGTCACGTGACACTGGTAGGGTGCAGGGAGCCGCTCATGGTTACCAGGTGAACAGGGACACTAACACTGCAGGACAGAAACATCAGACATGACGGCACCGCGGTCCGCAACCGCCATCACGAGACGAGATTCTGCTTCAGGTCGGCCAGACATCAAAAAAGGTTGACAGCTCGCAATTTTTACGGCATTTGGCAAACCCGCCTAGCGTGCCGCAACCTACCATACCATTCTCGCACGACATTCGTCGTTATGACGTGAACTTATTAATCCGGCCGCCCATGAGTGCCCGGCCGGTCAATAATATTTTCAATTGTTTGAAAGTCAGCCATAATTATTCAGCCTTTTTGCCATCCTGACGCTCTAAATGGATGCTTAGAGCATAATGGATGCCAGATTCGTGATCAGCGGCTACGAATTCGTCATATAACACCTTTTATTTGTCAAGATCAAGCAAAGGTCATTCGGGGCCACATGAGGTCAACTTAAAACTTGACCTTTTCTAATCAATACATGTCATTCAACGCGTCTTGACAAGACGAATGCGTTGGTTACCTACCACTATCATACCTAGCTCTAGGGCCATTGTTGTTGAAGTTATTTGCGAAAAACTGAATTTCCGGCTCAGGTTCGTTGATCTGAATTCTGACCTCAGGTCACGAATTATTTTTACCAGTCATATGCTTCACAGCCGGGCTCGAAATTTGTCTTTATCTCTATACCTCTATTTTTGGCAGCTGGTTGAAGATCACGTCTGTGACGTCGAAATTTACCGTGCAAGGGTCTAGGAAAATCGACCTTGTGACGTTATCAAGGGGTAGGTCCAAATGTTTCCTACAGGAGATGTGGTGAAATTGATGGGGAAAATGTACTGAAACTTTAACGCTTCTTTCCCCAAGGTTTCGGAAGCTATCGCAAAAATTCGTCGGGGGGGGGGGGGTAAATTTTGTCCCCCGGGCCCGCGCGGGCTAATGTAGACGTCGACAGAACAACTATTACATAGCATCCTGCATCTCTGCATTGACACAGTAATGAGTAAAACCCTTTTCGATTTTCCCTTTTCCAAATGTCGGATGTCTAGCGAGTGAACCCAACGACCTCTCGTCACGCCCGGTGCACATGTTCGTGCTTACATAAGTTCACCACCATCACGGCTGGCTATTTTCGCTGGCGGACACGCGGATTATGAATGCGCCTACTGACGCTGGACTGGGTCCATTCAGACGGGTCGGGACCGCGCCGTGCCGCAGTCGCCAAGGCGCACAAGCGTGGAGCTACGGGCGGGTCTGTTACATAATGTGACGTCATGGGTCCGGGGCGCGGCTCCCGACAGATGACGGGTGGAATTGGAAGGTAGACCACCACACAGGTATCGCACGGTCATTCACGGTGCTAAGTTGTACTCCAGATAGCCGATACGTGGGGTCAGCGGAGGACTCCGTAATGTGAATTCGAAAAGTGCTATGGGAACTGACGAGGAAGGTAGTTTTCCAACGAGCTCATGGCTTTTGAAAGCCATTGGTTGGGCATTTTGGCAACGGCAGACTCCTGGGAGAAAGGAGGAAGACCATAATCCACAACTAATCTGATAATCCGATCTAACACATATAGACGGGAAAGGCGTTTTAAGTTATTTTTTATAGAAGGCACACCCCTCCCAGCCTCCAGGGACGTAGCCAAGGGGGGACACGGGGCCATGGGGAACCCCCTGAAGGCGAAAAATAAAATAGAATCAAATAAAAATAAAAATGAATAAAACCAGCTGCACCACACACCCCAAAATAGTGGGCCAAATCCGAGGAGTGTTCCTTTTTGGAGGGGGTACGACACTAGGAATGACACTAGGCCGCGACCTGGTGGCCGCTCCCTAAGCAAAATCCTGGCTACGTGCCTGCCAACCTCTTAGCTCAGCTCTTGGGTCACGTAGACTACCAAGTCAAAGTACGGGCAGACGGCCACCATGCAAGTATAACCCACGAGGCAAGAGCACGAGGTCATACGCTGACATCACTCGGGCGAACTTCCGTGCCGATGTCAGGCCGAATAGCGACGCGGGATGACTGGTTGAGATTGAGTGGACATTTCTACAAAGGATCCAGGCATCACGGGGGCTTCATA